TTGACCATTGCATTTTTAAGGCCCATGAAAGCTGTTGTAGCTTCCTCATTCCGGTCAAAACCTTCTTTCTTGAGCATAGAAGTTAAAGGCTTGCTTATTATTCAAAAAAATTTAATGAATCTGCGATAATAACCAGTCAGTCCTAGGAATCCCCTTAATTCTTTCACCATTTTGGGCTAAGCCCAATTCACCATTGCCTCTACTTTCGTTGAATCAGTACTGACCCCTTCCCTTCAAATGATATGGCCTAAATACTCGATATTAGGCTTGGCAAAACTAAACTTGGAAGCCTTTAGAAAATAGCTTATGCTGCACTAGTACCTCAAAGACCAATTTCAAATGTGCCACATGATCTTCCATATTTTGGCTGGAAAGCATTAGGATTGAACGAAAAGAGCTGGGTCGAGAAGGTTTGGGTTGGTGGTGAAAAGGTGTGAGCTGGTAATGAAGTGCGGTGGACCGTCGCAGTGGTTTGTAGGGTTGAAAAAGTTGTAGATTGTACAGGGAGTGTTGTTTGTTGTGAAGGTAACACCAATGGTTGAGTATAAGGGGAAGAGGACACCACGACTCCACTAAGAGTAGGTGTTGGTAAAGGGCTGGTCGGTGATAGAGAAGATGGTAAAGGAGATCTAAAATTACCTTGCACTGAAGAACCACCAGCAGCTATGGTGGCGTACGACCTCACTGCAAAAGCGGGTTCATCCTTATTTCCAGGCTCCCACTGCAACAGCATATTTACAATATGCCTGTTAGCCTCTTCGTTTCGACAAGTCGAATCGAACATTCAATGTGTCGACCCTCTCCTGATTCTCACGAATCTAAGCCACATGTTTCGGGGTTTCCTCCATGAAAGCCTGCAGCTGAGCACCCAAGCGCTGCAGTCCATCCTCAGTATCTTGTGACGACTAGATTCCACCATGGTAGCAATACCACAGCAGGATCGGTAGGCTCTAATTCCAAAATGTTACAAAGCTCGTCAATGAGCAATGCAACAGTAAAACGCCTAGGCTAAAAATGACTAGAAAGAAATAGGACAAAACGAAATTCTTCATTCAGCATAATCCGTTTGTCCAATACGGAGATAATTAAAAAGCAACAACAACACAGCTAGCAATTACTAAGTGAGACATGTGTTCCCCCTTCCCTAACAAACTAAAGGACTACTCTGCAAATAACTGAAAGACCAAAGTGTTCACATATGAACTTAGGGGGAAAAAGTAACAACTTTACTAACTCGAATTAACTTAGCCGGATACCCAAATAGTCAACCATAGTCAAAATTAACCAAAGGAAAAACCTAGGTGCTACAAAGATTGCAGGGAACAAGTCTTCTGAAATAATATAAACAATAAACGATTCAACAAATCGATGTCAATGGGTAGAGAGGAGAAGAAACTTCATTAGGAGATTGACAAAAAGCAGACGGGTATTACTATGGGTAGGACAGCTAATGATAGTGGCATCGGATAACACAAGGAACAAATTTAGAAGATGTGAGGCAGCTAAGATCGAAAAATATCTTACTGCTCAGAACTTCAATATCCACATAAGATTCATCGCAGTTACAGCAAAGCAAAATGGTTAGGAAAAGCAACAAAATAGTATCAGAGTTCTAATATGTCATTAGAGGGAAAAATATTACAGTAAAAATTATCTAGAAAAAGCAAAATTGAAATGGTGATGGACCAAATCAAGTCCCAGCAATAAGCTATGTGGAACCAACGAAAGCAAAAAGATGTCAGATTATCACGGGGCACAGAACAAAGCTCCTACAAAATCAACAAAATTGTCTGATCAGGAAGTTTGAAGGTAATCACAAAGAAATACCCACATGCTCAGAAATTAGAAGATAGGTACGAAGCAGAAGGAAATCAGGGGAGATACCCCAAGATGAACAGCACGTAGTTTCTTTTCGAGCTTCCTTCAAAGGGAGAGGCAGCTAGAATTAACGTTGGAAAATGGCAATGGAAAAACTTGGAACTTTGGATAGATAGTCACAAGCTCTAGAACGGCTTCCGGCTAGTTTCGAATCAAATTGGATATCAGTACGACTACTAGAGTTGTCATTACATCTCTGGTCTGTGAAGGTATTCAAGGAAATTGGTGAGGAATGTGGAGGGTGGCCAGAAACAGATGAGAAACAACCCTAAGGAACCACCTTCGCTGGGCAAGAATCAGAATCAGAATCAGAGTCAGGGGAACGCGATTGTTATTAGAAAAGAGGATATGGTATTCAATGTCCCTGTTTGAGTTGAAAGGGTAACCATCATAAAATTTGCCAAGCCAGATCAGGGACAGCTGCTGTTGTGGGCAAGCAATACAGACCAGTCCTTCGCGTAAGCCTGGTGCAACAAGCTATAGAGCGGCAACCTTTTCTCGGGAAAGGCCACTCACCTGGGAAGTTCAAATTTTGAATCTCTAGAGATGAACGCATGGCAGTCACATGGAAAAGGATTTAAAACACTTGGGCCTCTTCTTTCTTTATAACAACCAAGATGACACAAATCTGCCAGTCATACCTGGGCCTAGAATGGCGGATAAGACTGACTCCGTTCAGCGAAAAAGAAACCAAACAATTGGGCCAGCTATCATAGAGCAAAACAGAGAAGGGGGGAAATAGAAGTATAAATCAGTTAGACCCAGCGAACATTATTCCAACTAATGCCTCGTTTATATCAGTGAGGACACATCACGAATCCTTTCTTAACCCTCAGGGGTTGGCCTGGTGGCAATTGACTTGAGCCTTGGGGTTTGCTCCCTTTCAAGGTCTCAAGTTCGAAACCCACTGGGTGCAAACAATTTCTGAGGGCCATCGGACTGGGTAAAACCTGAATTAACCGTGGTGCACTTGCGGGAAACTCCTTGCCGAGGGCCTGTGCACCCCCGGGATTAGTCGGGTCTCAAAGAGACTCGGACACCCGGTGCAAAATCAAAAAAATCACGAATCCTTTCTTTTTCGAAGTCGAAGCTTCCGGAGTTCAGACAGCCTAGTAATTGCTCGCATCCACCACTGCTGACTCTGATTTTTATAGCAACGAGGGACGCGAGACTCCACTGAGTCCGAAGTTGATAAAAGCAAGACCGGAAGAGGGGGAGGAAATCGTCAGCTTCGAAGCATAACCTCTGGAGATAGACAACGAAATCTCCTCACTGAATGGCAAGAAGATGAGCAAGGATTCGAACAGAATCAGACGGAAGAAGCAGCCTGGGTTTGAAGGAACATTATAAAAATGAGTAAGCAAATGGGAATAGATTTTGAAGGCCGTGAAGGGGAAGCATTAAGTTATTTTCATAAATGACAAAAAGAGGGAAGAAAGGTGACAAACGAGCTGCATGGAATGTCCCAGGAGCTCCAGAAGGGAATTCAGAACTCTTGAGTTCAACATCATTTATAAGGAGGGGTGTGAAAGGTTTAGGAGAAGATAGCTGTCAGACAATGATATAAGTGAAATTGAAAATAGTCAGCTGGAATGTAAGGAGCTTAAACAGTAGCTTAAACAGTAGAAGGAAAGAAGGCTTTTGAAGATTCAAGTACACAAGTAGAATGCTGATATTTATAGCTTCTACGAGAACGAGACCAATCTAAATAACACTACTCCAGCACTGTTCAAACAAAGAAATGGGCCAGTAGATGGGTCAGCCACATTGTTTTGGATGCTGAAGGGAGGGTTGGGGTGGGGGGTAAACTGATCCTTTGGCACAACCGAATGTGAACCGGGGAAACAAATCCACAAGGGGAGTGCAGTGTCACAGTAAAGTTCAAGGGGCTCCTATGTTACTGCAGTTGGCAATTTGGAATCTGACATGAATACATAGACCAATACGGAAAGAGGCAGAGTAGTTTTATGGTTCCAAATGGCAGTGCCTAGAGGTTTATGTCATGGGCCACGCTTTAACATAACAAGATAGTGCTGGGAAAAGAAGAAAGAGTAGCAGAAGATCCAGAGATTCAAAGACAAGGTACAGTTCTTTCTTTTTCTTTTTAGAAGAAAAAAAAAAGAACTGCATGAAGGAAGTGAGGTTGATTGACTCCTATTTGGAAGAAATTTTATTTGAACAAGAAGGAACAGAAATTGTGCAACATCTAGAATTGACAGGTTCCTTCTCTCCATGGAGTGAGATGAAGAGCTTAAATACATAAAGAAATCAACACTTCTGAGGATCTCCTCTAATCATACTCCATTACTTTTGCAATGTGGGGATTCAGAAAAAAGAAACTCATACTTCAAAGTTAAGAACATGTGAATAGAGGTCGGCAGCTTTAAAGACATGATAGGGTTGGTGGAACACACTTGTAGTTTAAGGAAGTCTGGAAAAAATATATCCTATCTATTCAATGTAAGAATTTCAATGACATCTTACAATTCCAACTTTATCCTACAATTCTCGAATGAAAGGTATAATTCGTGTGATTTGAAAATTTCTTGGGTCACGTTTGACCTTGGTTGGTTCATGTTAATGATGATATTGATGTTAATTTGGATAATCTAGTTAATTCAAAGGTTTTGCAATTTTTTAAATTATTCCTAGTATTTTGTTTGTAGAAGCATAGCTTGATTTTGCCAATATATTTTGTTTGATAATCGAGAAATAGCATAGGGCAGTGGCGCACAGTTCTAAACTCGGTGGATTATGGTACCGCCTCTACCCTTCTCCTCTTAAAAACCAGGCTTTTGTCTGCGGCAGCTTTCGAACCCATGATATGTGTCGAACCACACATCACGAGATGCACTCTTACACAGAGAATCATAGCTTGATTTTGCCTATATTTTTAAGAGTAACTTCATTTTGCCTACATTATTATTTCAAAATGGGGTTTCACCGTAATTCCCTGAGCTATCTATATGAATTGGTGGGTTATTCACCAAAATGTTATTTATATGTATTATTCTATGTCTAATGCATATAACGCGTGATTCTCATTTTGATTAGTTATAATATCACAATTTGACAACAAATGCAAACTTCGTCTTTAGAACATCTTAAACAGTAAAACGCACCATCAATGCTTCACCAAGTCCTTCTGCAACTGCGGCATCACTGAAACCACCTCCTGAAAAAGGTATAGCCGAAAGCCACTGGAAAAAGATATCCATGTCTCTTGTCCAGCCACTGCGCTGAACCAGGCAAGCTGCATAAAAGGAAGTAAAATGGAAGAAGAAAATAAAAATAAAAACGTCAGGCAGAAAGAAAAAGAAAGAGAAAATATGTGTCTTGTGTCTTTAACAACAAAGAGAAGTCAGAGGCAGCCTTGAAATACAACTTCAAGAGTGAGGGGAGATCTCGTATAAAATATAGGTTAACAAACGCTTCAACAACCAACAAGTGACAACAACCACACAACATTTACTAGTACATTGGATATTGCTACTTCAGAAATTATAACAGACCATCAAATCCACTAGAATATTACTGGAAAAATCAATTTCAAAGAGCTGGGATATTTTATAAAAAAAAATCCAAATTGACTGTAAGACACCGTCAAAGAGGATATCAATCCTATGAGCATAGACAGACTCATAAAATCAGAAACTATAATTTTTAAATCATGGATCAAGAGAGTCGCAATTAATTTACGGAACTGTATGCTGCATAGGTAGAATTGGCATGTAAGAATCACATTATTAAATAATTCTCCACATTATTAAATAATTCTCCACGTAAAGAATCACATTATTGTAGGAATCATGCGAAAAAGGTCCTAAAATCATGGAATGATGCCAATTTCATGTGGACATGCCACAAAATCAATTGGAGATCAGTACTGAAAATTTTATTTTCCTTTGCTCCTTCCATTTGTTTTCCCAGGTTGAAATTTGAGATAGGGCTAGAATATGGTTCTATGTGCATGACTCAACAAGCCCTCGTACTTAAATTTGCAATTGAATCAGCAAACAAATCTAGGGATTAAGAACAAGAAAAATACAAACCACTGTAAGAACCATGTGCATTAAACATGACCAAGGAGACCTCCACATTGGCGGCAGATGGCTTCTGGAATTTCAACAGTGGAAGGTAAAATTAGCTTAGGTAGAAATCATACAATTAATTGCACTCAAGTCTCAACTCAGACAGTATGGAATATACTGTTTTTTATCAGTAGTATGGAATATAATGTTGTGCTTAAATGAATTATAAATTGCATTGGTCATGATACATATTGAGATATTAAGCTTATACAAAATAACCATCATATAACACTAGAGAAGAATAAACAGTATAGTAAATGAGCCATTTAGATATGCAAACCTGTGAAGTCGACTCAGCTCCAAAAAAGCAACTGCGCAAATTACAAAAGGCTCTTACTCAGTAAAACTTTTATCTTGAAAACTACTTGCAGGATTTAATATGATCAACATTAAAAACAGCTTTGATACTTGTTAAGAAGCTATAAAAGATATAACTGCATTATATCAATCTAAATTTTAGGGGAAACTGGAAGCACTGCAATTTTCTCTGTTTGGTGGCTGCAGGGGCAATGCTCTCTATTACCACTTTTAAGTTCCAAAACCAAGCATCAGAGGACCTAAACCAAAACCTCTTCCAGGAAAAACATTGAAAAATAAAATATAAAGAAGAATGAAATGGATGACTAGTTAAAAACCGTCCAATCATCATATAAAGATTTTAAGAAGGATTTTATTCCTTTGAAAGGATGGAACAAGCGTGAACAAGCTGTATAGAACCACCTTTGGCAGATAACAATGTTTCATCAGCATTGATTCAAATACTAAGCAAACATCAAAGTTTAGTACAACCACAAGGCGGAGGTATATGTATCAACCATCCAAGCTAAAGTAAATCTCTCAACTATCCAAGCTAAATGCGAAAAAAGCCAAACGTATGATAGCCACAGTAAAGCTAGACAAAATGAAGAGCCCTGTAGGTGGAGGAGGTGGAATTCTCAGCCATTTCCTCAACAATACACATGTTTTTGCTTGCATGTATGCGGCTCTGTATATTTGAGGAGAAACAAACTAACATCAATTCAAATTGGACAATCTCACCCTTTAGAAATACCAGTACAAGAAAGAACTTAGAAGCATCTCAAATGAAGGGAAGTAACTGCAAACTCCTAAACGTTGAGTTGCATCCACATTCCACACCATATGGCTAGAGCCTTTTTCCTGGTAATCTTGGAAAGATGATACTCCCATATAAATGTGGAAATGTTCTAAAAACATCCTAATAGTTATGCAAATTTAAGATTTCTGAATAGTTAATCTTACCATTTAAAAGTAAAATCTGCATTTAATACTTCTTCAAAGTTTATATATTTCACTAAGCATGGAATGCAGTAAGCCAGCAAGTCAACTAATGGGAGAGGAGACAATCAATCTAAGAAACTGCAGGTCTCAATAAGTTTATAATGCGCCAGAAACAGAACTTTAAAGCATGCATAAATAGTTGACAAAACAATAATGTCATAAACAGGGGTGAATCTGAGTGGAGGGAGTGGGTTCACGTGCAACCCATGCTCCGCTCCCTAAATCAAGTATAGTAATGGTAAATTTTGAATGGTATGTTTCTTCAAAATTAATTAAATATATAATATGTGTGTGTGTGTGAGTGTGTGCGCACCCAAACTTAAGGCCTCATTTGTTTGCACTCAATGAAGGTCTAAATCTTAACTATTTAGATCTTAGTTATTAACTGTGTTTGTTTTTTAAGTCTGAATCTTAATTATTCAGATCTTAATCATTAAGTGTGTTTGTTTTTTTTATTTCACAACCACTGAATGGGTTTGCATAGGTCCGAATGATTAAGATCTATAACAAAGACTTAATTTCATTAAGATACTATCATCCACATTCACTATTAACTGCAGCCATCGGCCACTGTAATCACCTACCACCATGCACTACCCACCACCATCATACTCAACCACCACACTCAACCACCACCAACGACCATCACCATACTTAACCACCACCAACGACCACCACCATCCTCAACCATAGCCGCCACAGCCTCATTATTAACTACCATCATCTACCACCCCACCATAATCGACTACCACCATCCACCACCTCCATTATTATCAACTAACACTACCACCTTCATCCTCAATCACAACCACCCACCCATCCACCTCAACTACCACCACCAACCACCTCCAACACCATCATCAGCCATAGTCGCCACAATCCACCATTATAAATTATCACCACCCACCACCACCTTCCTCAACCACAACTTACCACTACCAATCACCACTAACTACTAGCCAGACCACCACGAGTCACCGCCTCCAGTCGGCGTCCACATGCACCACCGTTAGCAATTACCACCACCAACTACCATATTATTTTAAAAAAAAAATATTTTGTTAATAGAATATTAAATTAATTAGTATTTTATTTAAATTTTTTATTTAATAATTTTAAATAAAGATAATTTTTAAATATTCAGATATTGAAAAAACAAACAATCTTAATCATTTATTTTTCAGATACTAATACACATCTTAATATTCAGACGTGTATTCAGATTCAGACGCTTTAATCTTAACACACATCTTAATAATGAAATGTGCATTCAGATTCACACGTCTTAATCTTAAAAAAACAAATGAGGCCTAAAAGGTCTTATGGTGCAATAATCAATGGGTGCACCTCTACAAGTGAGGTCAAGGATCTAATTCTCACATCCACTTTGCGTTTTGATTAAGTATTTTTTTTCTTTGTCTTTCTTTGTTTGTTTAATTTATTCTTTCAAAATTCGCAAGTGTATTGAAATCCTTATTCTCCTTTTGTAATAACAAAATTTTATATAATTAAAGCAAGTGTCTGTATAACTGCAGCGTTTCGACGTTTGTATGAAGAACTGAGGGACAAACATGGGGACAAGAAGTTGTACATGACTGGCCAAGGTGCGAGAAAGGAACGCCCGTGACCTGGACCAAGTGAAGTGCATCAAAGATGAGGAAGGCAGAGTATTGATAGAAGAGGCACATATTAGACATAAATGACAGATATACTTCCATAAACTCCTAAATGAAGAGGGGGATAGGGATATTGTATTGGGTGATTTGGAACACTCCAAGAATAGTCGAGATTTTGGTTATTGTAGTCGTATTAAAATTGAGGAGGTCGAGGGGGCTATGCGTAAGATGAGCGGGGGAAGAGCGACCAGGCCAGATGAAATTCCAGTGGAATTTTGAAAGAGCGCGGGCAGGGCAGGCTTGGAATGGCTCACTGGATTGTTTAACACTATTTTTAGGACGAAGATCATGCATGTAGAATAGAGGTGGAGTACAATAATTCGTCGTACAAGAACAAGGGTGACATCCAAAATTGCAACAACTGCCATCCTTGTTCATAGTGGTTTGGGAGTTCTCTCCAAACTACTAGGTCAAGGGTTCAAGGTTGGTAGACAATCTCAAACAACAACTATAGGGTATCAAGTTGTAGAGCCACACTACGAAAGTTTGGGAGAGAGTGGTGGAAGCGAGGGGTAGGAGGAGTGTCTATTTTCGAAAACCAGTTCGGATACATGTTGGGACGTTCGATTATGGAAGCCATTCACCTTGTAAGGAGGTTGGTGGAGGTGTATAGGGAGAGAAAGAGGGACTTGCATATAGTGTTTATTGACCTAGAGAAAGCATACGACAAAGTCCTAAAGGAGGTATGGAGATGTGTGGAGGCTAGAGGTGTTCCTCTTGCTTACACTAAGGTGATTAAGACATGTATGATGGAGCTAAAACCCGAGTGAGGACAGTGGGGGGAACTCAGACCACTTTCCAGTTATGAAGGGGTTGCACCAGGGGTAAGCTCTTTGCCCGTTTTTATTTGCATTGGCGATGGACACACTGATGCGCCACATTCAAGGGGAGATGTAATGGTGTATGTTATTTGCGGATGATATTGTACTGATTGACGAGACGAAAAGCGGTGTCAACGCGAGACTGGAGGTTTGAAGACAGACCCTTGAGTCCAAAGGTTTCAAATTGAGTAGGACCAAGACAGAATACTTGGAGTGCAAGTTCAGTAACGAGACCAATGAAGAGGACGTAAACGTAAGGCTTGATACACAAGTCATCCCTAAGAGAAATCGTTTCAAGTATCTTGGGTCTATTATCCAAGGAAATGGGAAGATTGACGAGGACGTTACACACCGTGTTGGAGCGGGGTGGGTGAAATGGAGGCTCGCATCCAGTGTTTTATATGATAAGAATGTGTCACCTAAACTTAAAGGTAAGTTCTACAGAGTGACCAGTCAACAACTCTCGTGTTTAGAAGATGAAGCTAGCAGAGAAAAGGATGTTGAGATGGATGTGCGGGCATACTAGGATTGATAAATTAGGAATGAAGACATTCGGGCCAGGGTGGGAGTGGTCCCAGTGGAGGACAAGATGCGAGAAGCGAGGCTTAGATGGTTTGGGCGTGTGAAGAGCAGAAGCATAGATGCCCCAATAAGGAGGTGTGAGAGGTTAGCCTTGGTAGGTCTGAGAAGAGATAGAGGTAGGCCAAAGAAGTATTGAGGAGAAGTGATTAGGCAGGATATGGCGTTGCTTCAGCTTACCGAGGGCATGACCCTTGACAGGAAGGTGTGGAGATCGAGAATTAAGATAGAAGGCTAATAAGTAGCCGAGAGTGTTTCTTTCCCATACCAGTAGTACTAGTGTTAGTATTATATTCTATTATTGTAAGATTTCTACTATTATATGTTGTTCCTTCCGCTTCGTTTTCTTATTATCTTGTTGTTGTTACTACTTGTTACTATTATTTTCTCTTATCTTTCCTTGAGCCGAGGGTCTATCGTAAACAACCTCTCTACCTTCTAGGTAAGGGTAAGGTCTGCGTACACACTATCCTCCTCAGACCCCACTTGTGGGACTACACTAGGATTGTTGTTGTTGTTGTAAAGCAAATGTCTATATTAAAACCAATAAAGGATGTAGCATATAGTCAATGGATTCAATAACCAATCCCAACATTTTCGACACGGTGTGTGTGTGTGTGAGAGAGAGAGAGAGAGAGAGAGAGAGAGACAGAGAAATCACAAAAATCTCAATGTTTTCTTTTGAATCTATTATTCGAAAGTCTAATGGGTTCAATGTTAAGAACCTAAAGGTTGAGGGCAGTCAAATTTAAATGTTGGATTCGCTTATCCATAATAGTACATCCATCGTCTTGAAATCCTGGCCTTTGGTCGTACACAACATAAGTTTTCCAATTGACATAATGTATCTTCTCCTAATTTCATTCAACCCAAGAAAGAAAATAATAAAGTAGAAAGTCGTTTTCCAGTTTGTACCCCAAAAAGCCTATTTATAAA